GATTCTCATCCCAACCTACTCCATCGCTACTTTTAAAAGTTGTTCTACTTAAATTATCACAACTCAATGGGAAAACTCCGGAATATCGAACATCTGTAACGCGTTGTCGCATAAAACAGGTAAAACACATTCATTTTTCAACTTTGTCCGATCTTCCCGTTCAAGGTGTCATTCAAATCAAGTTCCAATTTTACACGGGAGTAGGTGACTCAATGTCCAATGTTATTTTGGTTATTTTGCCAGCGATAAACTCAGCAGAGTTTAAAGAAGTGGAAAGACTACAACTCTTTTTGGTTATTTCAATCGACTCCACAATCTCCTCGCTTTATCATAACTGAAAATTAAACACTTAACTAATTTAATGGATGGTTGGTGGGTCGGTTTAGTTTTTTGATACCTAAAAAAATAGCCGAATAACAAAGTTTTTGTTATGACTATTGCGAAACCTTGACTTCCATAAGCCCCGCCATAAAAAATTTCAAAACAACTTCCCTCCTCCTTCCCTGCCCAATTTTATGAAATTGGATTTTATGTATATAAGTAATAATTGATATTATTTTAAAAATTAATAAAACATATAATGTCAAATATCTCGAAAACTGTGGATTTTAGCGCAAAAAGGACCTCGGCCTTAGCTCTATTACACGGTGGGCCAGACCCCCTTACCGTGCACCCCCCCCACATCCCTATAAATTGCATATCGTTGTGTTCCTTGTAACAATTTATTAAAAAAAAGCCAATGTTCCCACAAAAAAAAGTGAACGCACTGCCCCAAAATGGCGTCCAAAGATGGCGGATTGACGACTTTGACTTTAGTTAGTTTTTTGGTCACTGAGAATCAGCATTAAGCTTAATTTCCTCATAGTTGGTCTTTTATTAAAGCTGAATAGTTATAGAATAATAAAACATGAAGAAATATTAAAAAATAATTGTCTAAGGCTATGAAAAACACCAGTAAAGTCAATTTTTTTAACAAAAAAATTTTCAAGTTACAAATCAAGCGTCGTTTGTAATTAAACGGCCTACAATAACGCAAAACGTGCTGAAATAAACCATCTGGAGAATATATTTCTCTTTCTGAAACGCTGATTATTTTTTACAAATGTTTAAGTAGTTCCGTAAAAAATGCACTTATGCGGCAGAAAAGCGGTACTGGCGTGGGTGCCTACAGGCCTCTACCACACCATTCAGTGCCCGTAAATGGCTTAGTTATAGTGATATAATAACACTTTTGGTACATTATATTGGTTTTATTAACGAACAAATATTAATGCAATAATTTTATAGTAAAAAAAAAAAAAATTTAATTTAAAAAAAAATTTATTATAATTTTTTTAAATTTTAACCTCCTTTATTTTATACGTAGGTCGTTTAAGAATACCTCAATTGTAAAAATGATATAATTATAATAATAAAAGTTAATTAAAAAATATTTTGCTAAATATCTTGATTTTTTTTTTATTTAACGTTTGCAATTTAACACTGTGTTTTGAATATTTACTGATTCTTAGAAGTAATTAAAATTTTTATATATTTCCCAGGAAATGAGTCATATTCATACCTTTTTTATAAACTAAAATAATATATACCTAATCTGAACTATATATAATGAATAGCTACCGGGTTGTTTAGTAAAACTCATATAACACTAATTAAAAAATTAATTTTTATTTCCTTTATTTTGTGCAGAAGTTGGACTATATCATAAATAAATAGGAAATTTTAATATTGAATGAATTATTCTCTATGCACAAAGAAAGATATAAAGGGTGACCCTATAAGTTCTTCTATAAACCAAAACTGATTGTTTGGATTTGATCTCAAAATGAGGAAAAACGTGAACTTAAACGAGAAAATTGGAAAAATACATTAAGCGAACGAGAAAGGAAGTGCCAAAACCTCGGAATAGATAAAAAGGACCAGTTATATCCATTATATAGCTAAATGAATGTATAGTAGATAGATGAACAGAATATTTCAAGATGCTGCTAAAACGGGATCAATTGCAGTTTGGATGATATTAAGTGGACGATGTAGGTTTATTATGGTGAAAACCACTTTATTTTCGATTGCTGAAGGTGCACCTCGGGACTATATTAACTTTGAAGATGAATATAGAGATGTATATCGAGAAAGTTATAGCTCATGGCTTTCCTTCTGTTTAGTGGATTTTCAAAAGATTTTTTAAGGTATCTTATATTAGTTGTAGCTCGCTATTCTTCTCGTTATTCTTGAATTGTTCGGAATTTGTACCATATCATAAAAAAATAGGAAATTTTAATTCCTTTAATCTTCCAATGTGCAACTTGAGTTTCTCAATCCATATCGCTCTGGCAATCGACAATATTTCTTATTCCAGCTTCTACGATTCTTGTGTATAATTTGTTTGATACACTAAACAGGAATGGGTCTTGATGGGTATTACATTTCCTAGTATCTCCTTTCTTGTAAAGGTAAAAACCACAGTCCTTTCATATTATTTTCTAATATACTTGTTGCCTATGTACGCGCAAAACTGTCAAAGCAGTTTGGTTTCGCCCTTTCCATCTTTCTTTGTGCAGAGAGAATAATACATTCAATATTAAAATTTCCTATTTTTTTATGATATGGTACAAATTCCGAACAATTCAAGAATAACGAGAAGAATAGCGAGCTACAACTAATATAAGATACCTTAAAAAATCTTTTGAAAATCCACTAAACAGAAGGAAAGCCATGAGCTATAACTTTCTCGATATACATCTCTATATTCATCTTCAAAGTTAATATAGTCCCGAGGTGCACCTTCAGCAATCGAAAATAAAGTGGTTTTCACCATAATAAACCTACATCGTCCACTTAATATCATCCAAACTGCAATTGATCCCGTTTTAGCAGCATCTTGAAATATTCTGTTCATCTATCTACTATACATTCATTTAGCTATATAATGGATATAACTGGTCCTTTTTATCTATTCCGAGGTTTTGGCACTTCCTTTCTCGTTCGCTTAATGTATTTTTCCAATTTTCTCGTTTAAGTTCACGTTTTTCCTCATTTTGAGATCAAATCCAAACAATCAGTTTTGGTTTATAGAAGAACTTATAGGGTCACCCTTTATATCTTTCTTTGTGCATAGAGAATAATTCATTCAATATTAAAATTTCCTATTTATTTATGATATAGTCCAACTTCTGCACAAAATAAAGGAAATAAAAATTAATTTTTTAATTAGTGTTATATGAGTTTTACTAAACAACCCGGTAGCTATTCATTATATATAGTTCAGATTAGGTATATATTATTTTAGTTTATAAAAAAGGTATGAATATGACTCATTTCCTGGGAAATATATAAAAATTTTAATTACTTCTAAGAATCAGTAAATATTCAAAACACAGTGTTAAATTGCAAACGTTAAATAAAAAAAAATCAAGATATTTAGCAAAATATTTTTTAATTAACTTTTATTATTATAATTATATCATTTTTACAATTGAGGTATTCTTAAACGACCTACGTATAAAATAAAGGAGGTTAAAATTTAAAAAAATTATAATAAATTTTTTTTTAAATTAATTTTTTTTTTTTTTACTATAAAATTATTGCATTAATATTTGTTCGTTAATAAAACCAATATAATGTACCAAAAATGTTATTATATCACTATAACTAAGCCATTTATGGGCACTGAATGGTGTGGTAGAGGCCTGTAGGCACCCACGCCAGTACCGCTTTTCTGCCGCATAAGTGCATTTTTTACGGAACTACTTAAACATTTGTAAAAAATAATCAGCGTTTCAGAAAGAGAAATATATTCTCCAGATGGTTTATTTCAGCACGTTTTGCGTTATTGTAGGCCGTTTAATTACAAACGACGCTTGATTTGTAACTTGAAAATTTTTTTGTTAAAAAAATTGACTTTACTGGTGTTTTTCATAGCCTTAGACAATTATTTTTTAATATTTCTTCATGTTTTATTATTCTATAACTATTCAGCTTTAATAAAAGACCAACTATGAGGAAATTAAGCTTAATGCTGATTCTCAGTGACCAAAAAACTAACTAAAGTCAAAGTCGTCAATCCGCCATCTTTGGACGCCATTTTGGGGCAGTGCGTTCACTTTTTTTTGTGGGAACATTGGCTTTTTTTTAATAAATTGTTACAAGGAACACAACGATATGCAATTTATAGGGATGTGGGGGGGGTGCACGGTAAGGGGGTCTGGCCCACAGACTATATTAGACATCTAGAGGGATCCACTAGAGGGGGGGCTTTTTTTTCATATATATAACGATAATTACTTTAGAAAAACAGAAAGATACTAACTACCTATATGAAATGGTCTTTAAGTGATTCTTTAAGTCCTATCAATGTAATTAAACGAGCAATAATACTTTAAGACATAATGTTTTAACATTTGTTACTATAAAACAGGATTACATTTTAACATTTTGGGGGGGGGGCTTCAGCCCGAAAGCTCCCCCGTAAATCCGCCTGTGGAGAGATCCATAGAATTCCATTTAGAACCCAATATTATAATTAAAAACAAAAAGTAGGGAGGTTACTGTAAGTTATAATAGTTGGGAGGAGAGAGTAACAAGAGAGTTTTTATTACCGGAAAGGTAAACATTAGGGAGATTATAGGAATCAAAATGGCGTCCGCCACGTGAATCCACACAAAGCACTAAGTATCTCAAGAACTAGATGGCTACGGCGTCGTGATTTAAACCATAGCCACTAGTCTCTTAAATCGCAGCAAAACAAAATGGCGGCCGGACACAATCAGCCTTTATAAAGTCGGTACAACCGACCCTCCAATAGAAAGTAGGAATAAACAAGATTGTGTTCGGGCACACACAGCCTTTTAGAGAGGTCTATTATTGAATTTGAACTATTTTAGTAGCTTCATATAACAAAGAAATATTTAGAGTTTATAATATGACTTAAATTTTAATAGTCAAGATTTTTGTTTTGTACTGTTTTAATATGTATGGTTATATTTCTTCTTCTATTACAGGATTTGTAAGACCGAAAGCTATGTAAGACAAAAAGAGAAAAAAATAATAAAATAAAATAAATTATATCAATATTTAAAGATTATAAATACCACATTACCATGGACAAGAAAGTGATTAATACAACGCAAGAATCGACGAACGAATTAATCAAAATCAATAACAGTTGGTTCTACAAATGCGAGCAATGTGACCACATGGCTGTTACGAAATCCCTACTGAAGATCCATGCGATGTTAACGCATTGCGATGACGACACACCTTTTCTATGCTCTAGTTGCAGTTACAGAGCAACTACCCGGGCCAATCTTAGGCGGCATGAGGCGGTTGCTCACTCGGAAGGCAACCGGAGCAGGCTGAGGAGCTGTCCACTGTGCGAATACTCTTCCCTTCGAGTTACTGCTCTTCGGACGCACATTAAAGAGGTACATCTTAAAGAAAAGCCGCACCAATGCGGTGAGTGTCCCTTCAGATGCAGTAGAACCACCGACCTTAAGCGGCACTTAGTCGCGTGTCACGAGAAAAAAGGAGCTTACCAATGCACAAAGTGCAATTATTCTACCTCTACTGGCAGCAGTTTCAGCAAGCATTGTAGGAACTATCACTAGAAAGAGTAAAACATGTAACTTTCAGTATCTCCAATTAGTCCCAATTCGATTAATCCACACCTTTCGAACAAAAAACAGTAATTAACGTAATGCTGTAGTGAAGTTAGGTCTTTTTAAACGAGAGTAATCCAAGATTGCCAATTATCAATAATCGAGCTCTGATGAAGATAGGAAAACCAATAAAATTGACATTGGTTAATTAGTGCAATTATTTTAGTAATAAAGTTTTATTAAAATATAATGTCTATTTTTTTTGTTATATTGACTATTATTAGTATTATATTTATTTTTTTGAAATTTTACAGTATATTAATAACAGTTTACTTCTCCATTTTACGTTGAAATTATTAACTACACATTACATATCAACTTATACTATGAACTCTGAATCTACACTATTATATTATTTCCTCAGCTACCTGAAAATGTCCTAACTCCTATTTCTAAGCTTTCAGTCACTTTTATCCTTTACCAGTTCTTAATTTCCTACAAACCTCAGCAATAACAATCCAAACCTCACTTTTCCCTGTTACAGTTGTCGCAGCATACTCTCCACCTAAAATAGCAATATCTGAACCTAACTTCATTTCCCTTCTTAATTCCTTAGGTCACCATTTTCTTATAGGCGCAGACCGTAAAGGGGAGCCAGAACCACGAATTTTCGCGGGCGAACTTTGCTGTCTGCAATTAATTCCCTATAGCAACATCCTTTCCCCTGATACACCTACATACTGGTCAACTGATGCTAACTGTAATCCTGACATCCTTGACTTCTTCATTCACAAAGGTCTACGGCCGCTAAATTATTCAGTTTCACGGCTTGACGACCTTTTCTCGGACCACAGTCCACTAAACTTGACCCTTTCCGCATCTCCTATCTCCAAATTATCTCCTCCCTCCTTCATCAGAGGCGCAGTCAACTGGAACCTTTTCCGCCAAATGATAAAAGATTCAATAGACCTCAGAGTATCCCTAAGAACCTCTCAAGACCTAAATAATGCAGTGAGTTCCAAAATGCAGTCTGGACTGCATCCTCACCATTCCCCTCCAAAAGAACCAGGCATCCTGATGATCGGAAATTGTACAATTGTTATTCCAAACAGGTTAAACAAGAACTGGCTTCCGTTATATCCCAATTCCTTCCCTCTCTACCGAAGACAATGCGTTGTGGAAAGTGACCAAAAAAATCTTTAAATACCACTCTATTTCCCATCCCCTCCGATGCGATGATGGAACCTCGTCAGATGACACTGGAGCTGAAGAATTTGCCAAATACCAATCCAACGTATTCACTCCTCACCCTCTCCTTTTTTTTCTTTTTTCTTTCCTGTTCTTCCCTACCTCGCCTTTTAGGCTATACGGGATTTACCAGGTAAACCTCTTAATAATACCTCCTATAGACCAATAAGCTTACTCCCAACTCTCTCAAAACTCTTTGAAAAAATCCTCCTCAAACGCATCCTACCCATACTCGAATCCCACAATATCCTTCCCCACCAGTCTGGATTCCGCTCAAGACATTCCGCTGTTTAACAAGGTCTTCGTGTTGTTGACCATATATCCTCTGCGCTTGAAAAGAAGCAATATTGCACTGGTGCCTTTCTGGACATAGCCCAAGCCTTCGACCGGATGTGGCACGATGGCTTGCTTTTCAAGCTTAAAACTCATTTACCCCAATCCTTATACCCAGTCCTCAAATTCTATCTCTCCAACCGTTCCTTTCTAGTCCGCTGCGACACTGAATTCTCCAATTATCATCCAGTTGAAGCTGACGTTCCACAAGGCAGTGTCTTGGGCCCAGCTCACTACATCCTCTTCACCGCTGACATCCCAACCAATCCCGATACCCTTCGACGCAGATCCTGTCCACCTACCCTTTTCAACTCTGTACCTCTTCTCATTTCAGACACAGTTCGTTATCTTGGATTCCTTTTAGACAAAAGGTTAACATGGAACCCCCATAAAGACAAGAGCTTCGGAAAAAAAAATCCAACAAAAAATTCCAACAAAACACCTATTTATAGAAAAGAGAAATATCGGGAAAATTCATCCTCATACACGAATTTCTGAATGAAATAAAACAAAATTATTATCGAGACCAGCTCTAGGAAATTCTGCCAGGAGGCGTGCCCTCCCTTGCATGGTGCAAACAAAAATCCAAATAACACCTATTTAATGAAAAGAGAAATATAGGAAAAATTCATTCAAGTTACTATCGTGACCAGCTCTTGGCACCCCTGCTTTGTATAAAGAACTAAATTATATACATTGTGAGTTAATGCAATCCATATATATAATATTTTAGATAGATAGATATAAAGTAAACTTTATTCTGGTACGAGGTCCCTTATGAACAAAAAAATAAAAACTACATCTGGCCATAAATTACATTAATCAATATTAAAGAAAATATACAGTATCTCAGTAAAAGTATATTAAAACAAGTAAAAATAACACCATTTTGAAAAAAAAACAAAAAACATTATTTAAATGGAAAAACAAAACAAAATAATGTAAGCATGGGTTGATTTTTAAAATTAAAACTCAATCAATTTTAACAACCATTCACCTCAGTCAAAATCTGTTTCGCAATATTTATTTCATGTACGAAGGAATTGGTAGAGATGATATTTAAATGAGGACAAGAAAAAGGCATGGCGGATATCAGATGGCAAGGAATTCCAGAAGGCAGTGGATCGGGCAATAAAGGAATATTCAAATGTCTTAGTTCTATGGGAAGGGATATAAAGGTCTGAAACACGGGATCTTGTATTCTGGGAGTGGAACACGGGTTTGAACTCCAGGAGACTGTAGATATAGGAAGGCTGTCGGGCGTTGGTCGTTTGGAATAGGAAAGAAGGGAAGAGCCACTTTAACTCATCGTAAAGGTGTGACATATGAGACCGCCTCAATGTACCGAAGACAAATCTTAACTAGGTATTCATGAGTCACTTCAATCTATCCTCGAGTACCCTCCGTACACCACGCAGCCGTAGTCAAAGTGGGGGAAAATAAGAGAGGATACAAGGAGCTTGCGGATGGATTGTGAGAGTAGGTGGCGGGAGCGATGAAATAGCTTAAGGGTACCTGTTGACTTACGGGAGATGAGGACGTATATATAATATAAATATATGATGATCTGTCAATACGAAAACCGCTTTGTATATTTATACTTATTATCGGAGCCCTCACATTCCACATCTATGATATATCATATCGCTTGAAAGCATACGGCAACTTTCCGGCTAAGCTTGAACGCGCGCTCTGGAGGTTTTGGTAGTTCCACGTCTAACGTTACCATCCCACATTTCTCTTTTAATTAATTGTCAAATACGTTCATAGTATATATTAAACAACTTTTTGATGACTAGAAAAAAGTAATAGGAAGCACTAGCGGATCCAGGATTTAATTTGGAGAGATTCATCCCGAAAGGTTGTTTACATATATATAATGATGAGTATTTTGGGAGATCAAAAGAAAGAAACTAACTACCTATATGAAATGATGTTTAAGCGATCCTTGAAATCCTATTAAATGTAGTTACACAAACAATAATACTTTTAGAGATAAGTTTTTAATATTTATTTCATAAGACATGGATGTTTCAAAACTAAAGCCTCCCTCCCTCCTTAGATTCGCCTGTAAAGTAAAGTAAGTTTGAAGTTTTTCGTTACTAACTCGAGTTTGAGTCCTTGAATGTAATAGTTCGTAAAGAACCAGATCCTTAACTCTGAAGCGTGTTGACACAAGATGTTATTATTCATAACATTGAAACTTATTCTGTTAAACATATGGTTATTATGTACATACTTTTTGTTTTGATATTTGCCAATATTTATTCAGAATTGTTTTTAAAATAATCTATTTCACAAAATACATATTTCTTGAAGCCAGACCTACTTCATACAAATATGGATTATACAGGTAGGATATTGAGATGTAAACGTAATAACAGAAAAAACGACTCTACATTTAATATTTCCTTGTATCATTTTGTTACCAAACACTGTCACTTTTTCATTTACGATTATAATAAGCTTATTCGGATTGCTCTGATAAGATAAGACCGTTAGAAAATTAATGAGTTTTAAAAAATTGAATAGAAACATCAATTTAACTCTATTATTTTCCTTTTAAAGAAAAAAGTAATTGTTTATATTTGTATATTAGAATAATAATAATAAGTTTATTTAAATGATATTTACAATTTACAAAAATGTACATAATAATCGATCATGTTTTTGTGTGCCATATTTCACACTAAAGATAACCTTAAAATTTATTTATTAGAAATTTATTATTAATATATCTGTTTTTTTGTTTGTTGTTCTTTAAGATAATCTGAAAAGCAAAATAAATTCGGGTGATACACACGGAGAAATAATAGCAGCTGATAATTCAAGCATATTTCAAGATCCTAATGGTAAAAATACAATACATGCTTCAATAGAAGAAAAAAATAGTTCCTGTCCCTTCTGTGATTTTGAAACTTCTGATTTTGATAGTTTGAAAAGTCATATTGATACTGTCCATACGGTTGTGAAATATAAAGCATGTCCTTATTGCCGATTAAAAAAATTATCACTAGTTGATCTGAAACAACACATAAAATCATATCATTGGGATTTATTAATTCACAGGTGTAATGAATGCGACTACAGGGCAGCCAAAGAAACAAATTTAAAAGCACATAAACGAAACATTCATGCAATAGATAAGCATCACCAGTGTAGTACATGCGGGTATAAAACAGCTTTGCCGAGCAGGTTGAAATTCCATTTAGAAACAATACACAAGTTAAAAAAACCTTACCATTGCCCAATGTGTAATTACAGAACCGCTGTAAGGAGCACATTGAAGACGCACATAATGGCCAAGCACGAGAAAAAGAAGCCACATGAGTGCCCGAAGTGTAAATACACATGCACACAAATTGGTACTATGCACAAACACATTGCGTCTCATTTCAAATCTAGTCCATACTATCTTAATAAGAATTCAAATATTAAATCAAGCACCGAAACTATGATCGAAATCTTGGCAAAGGAAGGAGCTCCTGTCAACTTCACTACACACGTTAACATTTCATCAATAGATACTCTGCGACCGAATACACGGAATTCGCAGCGCTATGACGACCAATCCTCAAATATGAAAAAATTATTATCGGATTTTATAGAAGAAAACATTCCACATTTCCCTTACAAGTGCCATATCTGTTGTTACTCAACAGACAATAATAGTTCTTTAAATATCCATCTCATGACACAGCATACGAAACAGGTTTTGGTAACTTCATCGATACCCAACGCCCAAACTCTGAGTCAGCCGCATGTACAGTACGTTTTTTCAGTTCCAAGAGCGGCGCAGGTTTTGGAACGGAAAAATTTTGTGGAGCATGCTAGCATTAATGATAGTCAAAACTCGTGATGGAACAGACGTGTTGAATCCAATTAAAAGCAAATCATGTTAGAAATGATCTGAGATCATTCTTAATTAATGGAGATAAAACAATTGTTGAAACAGGTAGCTTTAGAAATCTTCATATATTGAAGTGAGTTAAGAATATGATCCGGAGGATTATGAGTACTTGGTAATTAACATACTATTGCCGAATAAATGTAAAAGTATAATTACATCAGATAGATTAGATATGTCAGATAATAAAACCGTTTGTAGATCCCAATCAACACAATGATTTCATTTCTTAATCTTTAATTCAGAAAAAAAAACATTATTTGGTAGAAGGAAACATAAGTAATTATTGAAAACATATTTAAGAGCCTCTTAAGCTTATTTTAATGTTTTTACTTTCACTTACTGGTATATGCAATATATATTAAGGAAAAATATTGCGATCGTGAAAATTTTTGAATCTGAGTTTTCACCGGAAATACTCATTTTGGGATACCCTGTGACCAAATAACCAACTTCCGCAAAATGGTCTGTCGTCTATGTTTACATGTGTCTGTGTGTGTATGTTAACAGTCTAGCTCAAAAACGAATAGTCGTACAGAACTGATATTACGTATTTAAGATTGATATATGCCTTAGATGTGACGGAAACATTTTCCTTAAAGTCGGCTAAGCGGAAGTGCCACGTTATATCAACGGTGTAACACATTTTTACGATTTTCTCAAAAACGGCTCTAACGATTTTGATTAAATTCGGTGTGTCATTGTGTAATCGAATGGTCTTTAATATCAATTAGGTCTTATCCCCATTGATGTCACTTTACACTAATGAAATGTTCATATACGTCTCCCACTAAAGTACATTTAATATGGTTTATTTAAAAAAATTAACCCTCTTTTATTGACAGTAACTATGAAAAATGACTAACTATGAAGTTTGAAAGAATATGATAATAGGAAACTGGAGAAAAAGAAAAATGCTTATCCAGGTTGAAAATGAATCTCCGGAAATAACAGCCAGAAGGAATATGTATAATATATCGTTGGAAAGCGGTGAATTTTAGGAAAAATAATATTAAAGAAATAAAGATGTAAAAGGTAACGGAGAGTGACGAAAAAAATATAAAAAATAATTTCAGAAAACTAACATTATTTAACGTAAATCAGATATTTTAAAAAAAATTTCTTGTTAAGTGTAAACTATTTAAAAAAATTTCTTACTAAATGTAAACTTTAAAAAAAAAAAATTTAAGTTTGAAAAGGTATTTAAAACCCACGGATTCAAGGCAATGACATTGTTGAATAGTTTTGGAAATACTTAAAAATAATGAACCATTAAATAAAATTAATCAATAACAATTGAAAATAGATAAAAAATAATAAGATGTAATAAATAAGTTATTTTTCACTTATAATATTTAAAATGTGCCTACATGTTAAAGAAATGCAGTTTTTTTCTACTTTATGATTAACAGGATTCTGTTCCATGTGAATGTGGATGGATTCGGAAATGAGTCTATTTTCAAAATCAAATGAATGGTTGAGGGTTAAGGCATGTTCTGATAGTTTGGAGGCGGAAGGATTCCGGAATGTTTTATGTTGGAAAATGCGGGTTTTGAGATAGTTTTTGGTTTCGCCAATATAGGAGCTATTACAATTAGGAGTAGAGCAAGGTATTCAGTAAGCTACAATAAATCGGTGTTGTAAAAGTATGGAATCCTTCAAGTTGGTGAAAAGGAAAGATAAGTTGTTATGGGACTTGAGACAAAGAGGTAAGTTGGTTAAAATCAATTTAAGGAATTTTTATATATTATCTTAGAGAATATTAATATAGGGGAGAGATTTGTATATGAAAGGAGTGTTAGGTGATTGCTGGGAGTTGAGAGAAGGGGAGGTTGTACTCTTGTTGGTTTTATAGCTATTTAAAAGTTTAAGTATAGTGTTGAGAGGAAAATCATTGGAAAGGATATATTTTTGACAAACTGGGTGTTGGCTTAGTGATATTGTGGATTAGATAAAAGAGAGATTTTAATTCAATTTGGATGCTTATTCAATGGATAGTTTTTCGGAATTATTTTTCTACAATCCAGAGGGGGCGCGCCCCCTGGCAGAAATTACTAGTGCTGGTCACGATAATTACTTTTTTTTTTATATTACATTAGAAAATTCGTCTATGAGGATGAATTTTTCATATATTTCTTTTTTCTATAAATAGCTGCTTTTTGGAACTTCTCCCCCACCTTTCAGGGGAGAGAGGGGCGCGCCCCCCGCTGAATCCGCTAATACTGGTCATGATAATAATTTTGTTTATATCATATTAGAAGATTCGTCTTAGAGGATGAATTTTTCCTATATTTCTCTTTTCTTTAAATGGCTGCTTGTTGGACTTTTTTGGCAGCTCCCAGGGGGAGGATGGAGGGGGGAGGAGAGGCGCCCCTCGCCGAATCCGCTAGTGATTCCATGCCTCTTAAAATCCGTCAGCTCCTAGATTCCTCACTCATTTCCCCTCATTTCGATTAAGGCTGCCTTGTAAACGGTGGACTATCTGATGGGCTTGAGATCAGATCAAAGAGACTAATGAATTGTTTCATTAAATTTATCTTTAGAGTCCCCAGGCTCTCCCACGTCTACAGTTGTTATGCCGAGTTGAAGTGGCTCTATCCAGTCTTCCGACGGCAATACTTCCTAGGTGTATTCCTTTTTCGAACCTTCTCAACCAAAAAAAAATCCTCTTACCTTCTCAATTTGTTTACTCCATGTATAATCTGTCCATGCATAATCTGTCCATTCGTTCAACACAAGATACCAACCCTTAAACCTATTTATTCCTTCTTATAGAACTGTATCCTTTAAAAAATCCTTCGCCATACGTGTTACCTTGTTTTGGAATTTCCTACCATCCTCCATATGCAAATCCTCATCCTTGACCTCATTTAAACATAACTTATTTATAAATCTCCTCAGCAGTCAATCTTCTGAATATGTGTAAAATAATGTTCAAGTTTTTCAGACCTGTCAGTCGCATTTAATGTTATCCTACAGATAATTATGTACCATCTACATTATTAATGGGTACAAATATGTGAACTCGCACATCAGAAATTATTTATAATTTCATATATTTACCAGCGCCTTTTCTTGATTTTAATTTTAAATTTTAGATCTATATAACTTTTTGATTTAATTTATTCCTAATTATTTCTATTTCTAGACAATTGTCATTAAATTGTACATTGTAGTTACGCTGAGGGAACTTAGTCACAGGATAAAATATATTTTTCTAAAAAAAAAGAAATATCACTAAAATGACATTACTGAAAAATGTTGAAATTAGAGTTAGTAATTCCGTCAACTGAAAGGTTCAGAGATTGAAGTTATGTGGTTTATATGAAACTAGATTTTTATTGCCTACCGTCGATATAATAAATAGATAATCTTTCATTGTTAATACCATAAATCTCAAATATCAACGTATTCAAAAATTGATTGATTTTTTTGTTGTAACTTTGTTTAGTAGTTTATAATTAAACTTTAATTTAATCTTTAAGTCTATTGACTAAAATTTATTTATTTATTATTTATATCAGTGTCTGAGGTAAAATTAAAAAAAATGAATGTTTAAATCCAAGATCTTAAATTCTACGATAGTATTTTAATTGTTGCAAGATTTAATCTTATTAATTATTATTAATGTATTTATTGCATTGATGAATAGGCACGTGCACAATTGAATATTGTAATTAACTTTTTAAATAATCGAAAATGAATAATGTGCAATAAGATTAATTACTGTTTAATATTGATTAATTTAGTTACTGAAAGCAAAAAAATTAAGCTAAGTTGGATTTCCATGACGTTGCACCTTGAAAGGCTTCCTATTGGTTCAAAGAAGTGGGAATGGTGCGCCGAAGCAGCGTGGGCACGCATTTTGTCTTTTCCGCCATTGTTTCTTTGGCATAGCGTCGGTACTGCATCTCAGTGTTCAGTTCTGACTGTTTTTATTATATGTTAGTAGTTTATTTGTTATTTGGTTTCGATTTATTGATATATTTCCATATGTTTGTTTAATTGTGATATTCTTTTTTAGTTCGAGAGGATCCAAGGTCGTCTGTTAAACTAAAAACCGGTACTTATACGAAGGCTAAGATCACAACTTGAAAATATGGAGAACTCAAACAATACTCAACCTCAAGAAAACAACCAGCCTCCTCAGGATAATACTAAAGTCAATGAGTATATTAAAGAGTTATTAAAAGAGAAGAATAATCTCGACCCTTCAAAATCTCCAATTGCCATGCGATTATTGGAAGAAGGTAAACTTATGTTTTGTTGCTATTATTTTACTCTATTTATGTTCACATTCTTTATTAGATTAGTTACATGTAATTCTTAATGATGTGATGATTTTGTTGAGGAAAACTTCCAATTTTTTAACATAAAGGGTTTATCTATTTGTCAGTTCACTAACTGTGGTTTGGTATATCCTTAACCGGAAAAAGTACCAATCGAAGCAAAGATAACTATGACCCACAATTTTACCAATACCTAAATAGTTACCAAAAAAATATAAATCATTTTTCTCTTATGCATTTAGAAAAGAACTTTTTATATGCAGATGTGGGATAAATGATTGTTTAATGTCAATAAACCAATTTTTTATGTTGTATAATGTTAAAAACAAAATAAACACATGTGATAAAATTATTATTCAAGAAATAGTTGTAGATATACTCTCTAGAGGGATAGATACATTTTATAAATTATAAGGTCATTATTCTAAGGAACATCAGTAAGAGTAGTAACATTACTAAATAGGAAGAGATCATTATTAAAAAAAAAAAATCATAAATGTTAAATGGCCCAAAACATTTATTTGATCTCACATTTAGTTTATCAACATGATATTTGTAATTTTTATTATATCCATGCTTTAAGCAAGAAGTTATATGTGAGCAAAAGCTGACCCTATAAAATGGATATAAGTACTATCAATAATACAGTTCATTGCTACAACGAAGAAAAATTAATGCCAAAGGGTATCGCTTCGTCGTTTAGGTGAAGGTGAAGTTATCCCTCTTAAATTCTGAAAATAATCAGATTTTCCTTTTGTGAGAGGTTTTCACCATCAAGCTAAATAATTGGTGATAGCACTACTGAGAGGAATGAGTGCCTGAAGAAGGGATAACCAGGAAATTAATTGGATTAATCACAAAGTTTGTCCTTTTGAGGAATTATACCTTTCTCCAGTTAATAACATATTAGGAAGTTGTTCTAGATCAAGGATCTCAAAACTAGGGCCTGCAGGCCTGTCCCGCGAAAGTTTTTTTTATTTTTATCACTTAGTCAAATTTTAAGAACAATTTAAAGAAATGAAATTTACCAATTTCCTCACATACGAGGTTACTACAACATTGATTGTATGGGATTTTTTTCTTAAAAAGCTCATTTTACAGCTGAAGTGTCATTTATAGAACAATATTATTTTTTCAAGATGACCAGCGATGCTTAGGCGATTGTTTTAATGCGGCTGCACAACTTGGTCGAGGTCTCGATGTGGAAGTTTAGAGACCTCTGTTGGCTGTGCGACCTAGAGAGAGACCTCTGTTAAAGACCTAGATCATAGCTGTACCAGAAATGATGTTGCTGTTCGCATTTTCAGTTCATTTTTTGGCTTCTGAACTCATTATATAATCAAACAAATTTTTTACGACTTAGGTTTTATGAGATTTGCTTGTTTGTTTGAATAATTATTTGCTTCATGGCCTATCATGAACCCAAATTAAACAAGATTAAGGGAACATATTTAATTTTGGATCTATTAGTTATTAGTTGTTTACTTAGATAAGGTTTATATGCCAACATATATAAGTAGGATTTCATTTGTTTTATTTGATTAAGTAAATGCAGTGTTAAATCATTGTGGTGTTTGGTGTGGTACTACTATGTATACAAATGTTAATGATTAATGGGTCGGGATAAGATCTCATGGTTGCATTAAATGGTATTTCAAGAATGGTTGAGTATTAGTATGATCATGTGTGTTTAGGATCTCTAATTCCTCAAGTTTCCACCTATTCCTTATCAGCTAAAATTAAGACTCTAATTAAATTTAATTACTCCTTTGCTTCAGACTGGACTTGGGCTCGCTCAAAAATGATAAACAAATCCCTAACCATATGCTCAACTCTTGGCAGTAATTTGAAGCATTTTTAGATAGGAATTTATGTTCAATTGGGTTATTCAATGATATTAATTAAAATGTTGACCAATATTTAAAGGATTCCATATTGATAATTGCATTATTAAATGGTAATAACAGTAGTTAATTACGGTGCTACAAATTGTGGTAGTTATTTAAATTTTTTCTGTCCCATATTACTTTATTATGTTTAAGTCTTTTTTTTCTGTAATTTTTAGAGAGGAGTGGAATTTAATTAAATTAAATGGGTTCATTTTAATATCTTCTCCATATCTATCATAGGGAAGTGAAAGTTTTAATTATGTATTTTTGTGTAATGGCAAATGGGCTAATCAATATATTTTTTTATACATGTTTTCCTTGTGTGTCTTATTAATTAACATATTTATGTATTATAAAGATCGGAATAAAAGCTAATCTAATCTAAATAATATGTATAATTCCGGCACCTATGTCGGATGTTAAAAGGATAGGCAATAATTAGCTACTTGTGACATTCATCAAGAATTTGGAAATTACATATTCGGGGTGATCTTTAAACCAACCAGCTGCCTTCAAACAAAGTCATCTTAATTTGAATAAAATTAATATGATTAGTTGTTCCCGATTTTGATGGTATTTTGAATGATTTCGGTTAAAGATAAATTTTCCAAGGAATTTGTTCTTTCTACTTTACATTATATATCTGTATATATTATTATATCATTATGTTCGTTCTATTGCTATACAGTGTATTATTTTTTTTTTTTTTTTTACAACCTGCACATTTGGAATGTTGAACTAATCTGGTGTTCTCCATTCTAGGATATGCAGGGATATAAATCCAAGGATATTTCCCGTGCTGTGCTTTTGTATTATAAATAAACAGCCCCAAAAATCCTTGTACATATTGAATATATTAATATTTGGCTTTAAAATTTAATATGATTTTATTTTAGTTACTACAGGATTATTTACTACAGGAACACTACAAATTATTTTGGACAGAGTATTATAGTTGTTATTTCCTTCATAAGTAGTAAAGATGGTTGTAAAATTAGAAAATCTTTGTTCACACTTGTTTATAATTATATTTATAACCAATGGGTTTGAGCAAAATAATGAAGTACAATGATTTGCAAGGCATGTGAGGAAGCAGTAGTACTCAGTTGCTTTCTTAGGGTGATCTTAGTGGTCGTTCATAAAATAGGAGCTTCACTTCAGCCTTTTAATTGTGTTATTTATAGTTTCATTGTTGCTTAGTTTTCATGAGTTTACCCTCAGGATGTTGAACAATTATTTTGTTCAGTTTCTTATTTAAACATTCAAATTTTACTTTAACCTTCGAGTAGGCGCACTGCTGCATGGAATGCACCAGCCTTGGTTTTCAGGCTGTCAAATCTCTCAATGTTAACTGTCTGAATGTTTATTAAACCCTTAGTCCTGCTACCTTCTTACCTGCCCTTAACCCTTACAATCCACTATACTTCTTGAAATTGCTTGGAAAACTGTTGTGGCACACTCCCTGTGATGCGCCCACTTGTGTTATACTTTTAGTTTTTCTTGAATATTCTTGGTTTTAATGGTTGAATTGAAGTTTTAAAAATGACATGTATGTGAAAGGAAAAGAAACACTACAATATGTTCCAAGTGTAAAAAAATATATTTGCAGATTAAATATATTTTTAAGATTACCCTTGACCAGATAGTTACTATTTTCTTTAGAAGTTTATTGGTCTTTTAATATAATAGCATTTTTTTATCTAACATTTGATCATTCCTTTCCTAATATTGTTCATTTTATGATTATTTTATTTTTGTTAAAAATAGTTTTATTAATATTGATAATGTATCGATCATATATTACATCGATTGTATGAATCAATATAAATATATATAATACATGTGTTGTGATATAAACCTCTTTTCTATTAAGTTGTGTGTTCCTTGGTTTGTAGCTTAAGTTTTTATTTATGAAATTTTATTATTTTTCAGAAGTGGTTAAGGCACAGGCTAAAGGAAAACCAGTCAAGGAATCTAAATACGTAGATATTTATAGAGAAAAACCAGTTCGTGTTACTACTAAGGTTCTGGTGCCAGTCAAAGAACATCCAAGGGTGAGTAAATTTAAATAAACATTTTTAATCACAATATTGTTGACTATAGCATCACTCAGGTTCGTGATAGGTGAATTTGTTAAAATATAATTTTTAATATTTTCGAGCCTAGGGACTTAAAAATTTATTTAGTTTCGGGACCATGTAATGTATCTATACCTTCCCACTCTGATTAGAATAGGATTGGTGTTGTAATCCTTTTGTCTGATCTCAAATTACCATTTATGATGCAGTTTATTTTATATTAAATAATTTTATAATTTTTTAAAAAAGTAATAAGGATTAGAAGTTGATCCTACAAGAAAATAAACTTTGAATAGGTTATTTTCTGTTGCTATTTTAACCTGCACATTTGGAATGTTGAACTTATCAAATGTTCTCCATTCTAGGATATGCAGGGACATTAAACAAGGATATTTCCCGTGCTGTGCTTTTGTATTTTAAAAGAATAGCCCCAGAAATCCTTGACAAACATAAAAAAAATAGCACCAAAATCTTTTGTCTGATCTCAAATTACCATTTATGATTCAGTTTATTTTATAATTTTTTTAAAAAGTAATGAGGATTAGATGTTAATTTCTCCATTTGATTAGAAGCTTGAAATTAAACTTGATAAGTTCGAAATTCTTACACCGTTTATATCTTTGTTTCCCCCAAATAAGGCATCAGACTTTTCTTCTCATTTTTTAGGAGCAGACAATGTTTGAATTATAGAAAGTAATACAATATCTACTGTAAACCAATTTTTATTTATTCTGATATCTAATTTAAGAAATGTAATGTTGTTCACAATCACTTCCTCTGTCTCATGTGTTTACTTTGGTTGCATAGCTTGTATTAACAACTGATAAAAATTTTATTGAACTTGATTTCATAAGAAAACAAACTTAGATAAGTCATTTTCTGTTGCTGTTTTAACCTGTACATTTGGAATGTTGAACTTATCTGATGTTCTCCAGTCTAGGATATGCAGGGACATAAAACAAGGATATTTCCCGTGCTGTGCTTTTGTATTTTAAAAGAATAGCCCCAGAAATCCTTGACAAACATAAAAAAAATAGCACCAAAAATCTTTTGTCTGAACTCGAATTACCATTTATGATTCAGTTTATTTTATATTAAATAGTTTTTATATTATTATATTATTTTATATTGTAAATTTTTTAAAATATAATGAGGAATAGAAGTTAATTTCTCCACTTGATTAGAAGCTTGTAATTAAACTTGATAATTTCGAAATTTTTAAACTTTTTATATTTTTGTTTCCCTTAAATAAGACATCAGTCTTTTCTTCTTTTGATTTTTTGGGAGCAAACAATATTTGAATTACAGAAAGTAATATAATATCTAGACTGTAAACCAATTTGTTTTCTCATATCTAATTTAAGAAATGTAGTGTTGTTCACAACATTTTTTGTGTGTTAAATTGGTATATTGACATCACTACTTCCTCTGTCCCATGTGTTCACCTTGGTTGCATAGCTTGTATTAACAACTGATAAAAATTTTATTTAACTTGATTTCATAAAAAAAATAATAAACTTTGATAAGTTATTTTCTGTTGCTATTTTAACCTGTACATTTGGAATGTTGAACTTATCTGGTGTTCTCCATTCTAGGATATGCAGGGACATTAAACAAGGATATTTCCCGTGCTGTGCTTTTGTATTTTAAAAGAATAGCCCCAAAAATCCTTGACAAACATAAAAAAAAAAAAAAAATAGCACCAAAAATCCTTCACAAGCTTTCCAAAAATTATAACCAAACAATTATGTGTACCTGGTGTTTATAATTTGGATACCGTTCTAGAATAGTTAGTTTATTTATTTATTTTATTGTATTTATTTTATTGTATTTTACATTAATTTTAGTCCTAGATTTGCTGAGTTTCTTGGCCTAATTTGTCTGATAAATAAAAAGATATTTGGAAAATATATAAGAAAAACAATCATAATTCATTTTAAAAATAGAATAATTAAAGTCAAACTATACATAAGTTACTAGTCAAAAGTTACATGATGTTAAGCTAAAAATTATTATAAACAGTGTGAATAGGAAGTATATAAAAATATTAAGAACTTTTAAATATATGAACAAAGGATAAAAAATAGACTATAAAGAGAATAAAGGAAGTATAATCAAGTAACCAGAACTTAAAATAAAGTAAATAATATTGGTAACAATAATTATAGAAAAAATCATAGAAATAACAAAATACAACTCCCTTAGTATTGTTAGAAACTAGCTTTACCTCGCTATTCACTGTTGTGGCTCAGTCTGGCAAAATGAAAAAGAAAGCACATATGAGAGGCATAATATCAAAGCCTGATATTTATCTTTTTAAAAAATAAGGTGTAAAACAATTTTCTGTAGCGCAGCTTCGATTTAAACCAATTCTAATGAATTTTTTTTTTTTATGATTTAACTCGAACGTTATTAAATAAAATCATGAGAAATAGTTTGTTAAACAAAAATTTTACTTTTTTTTGTCTGCTTTCTGAAATTGACATATGCCTTTCTTTGATATGAAGCCATTCATATATTTTCATGTTTTATAATTGATTATTTGTATATCCAATATATTGTTTAATGTTTAACTTTGTTTTGGTTATTGTATGGAAATTAAGTAGTTAATGTCTTATTTTTTTTTTTTTTTTTATTTCAATGGAATTTACAACTGTATTACATAGAGAATACAATAAGTAAATGAGAAATTTGTAACATGGCATGTACAACATGAAGAGAAACTACCCATTGGTAGAACTCAAATTAATGTCTTATTAGTTCAAAATCTTAAATCTCTGAAAGTTCTTAACTAATTGCTTTAAAATTTTGGCTTAACATTGCATTTAAATGCGTGCATGGTTTTATATTTATTCTTTAACATTGCAAACCATGGTTACATTTATTTATTTAACAGGTGATTGTGAATAGTCACTTTTCTTTTGTTGTCGTATAGCATACTTGTTTTGTAATGCCGTAATGCAATTGGAAATACCTAAGAAAATTGCTTGAAAAGTCAAGGAGAGACTTTTGGTCGTTACCGTACTGGGAGTTATCTCACATTTTGGACCTAGTCTATTGTGGGTAATCTCGTATTTTCGACCTAGTCTACCTTGGATGAAATTTGGACATATTTTTGGATATTTTCTCTTTCATAGTCATTATTTATCATCTAAACATTGGAGTAGAGATTAATTTCTAAATTGTTTTGCAATCAGTAAACAGAGATATAATAACCAATTGTATCTGAACGGGAGTTATTCTTCTTAATTATTTTTTTTTTCTATCTCATTTGTTTAATAACAAATGAGATAGAAAAAAAAAGCATATATCATTTTTGTTTTAGAAAAAAAAAAGCATATATCATTATTGTTTTAGAAAAAAAAAAGCATATATCATTTTCGTTATGTAATGCTGTAATGCAATTGGAAATACCTAAGAAAATTCAGGACTGAAAAGGATATCTGGTAGATAATGATTAATTATATTGTTATTGATCGTTTGTAAACCTTATGGTTAGGAGAACATTTGTAATTTTTTTTTTCTCCCCACCTTATCCAGCCATTTTTGGCATATGGGTTTTCAGCAGCAGTGGTATTGCACATGACACTGCAGCTGATACAACTCTCTTTATTTTTGTATATTATATATTATTGTAGTATTATATATTCAGGGACAACAAAAAAAGGAATTCTGTAGTGTACGCGGCTACACACCTTCTGATGGCACTACATCTCTTCCTTCTATTTTTATTTTATTTGTAATTGGTGGTTGTGCTTATTCGTGGTCTTATCATCTCTTTACACAACTGTTGGCCCAATAACAGTACTTTATTTCAATATTCTAAATCCAAGACCCTTCTGGGCTGTAGTGTATATATTTCTTTTTAGTATTGATTAATGTGTTTATACAATTTTTGTTTAAGTATTTTAACTATTATTTTTTATTACAGTTCAACTTTGTTGGTAAACTTTTGGGACCAAAGGGTAACTCATTAAGGAGGCTGCAAGAAGAGACCATGACAAAGATGGCCATCCTAGGGAGGGGATCAATGAGGGATAAACAGAAGGTAAAATTTATCAATATTATAGTATTGTTATAGTTTGTTTCATCTAACAACTGTGGTATAACTTACATTTTTGTTGTTGCTAATTTTAATAATTAATTCTCTGCATGTTATTATTATTTGTTTTTCATCTTTTTTTAAAATTCCCATTTTAAAACCTTATTAACATATATATATATATATATATATATATTATTATATATATATATATGTATATATATATATATATATATATATATATATATATATATATATATATATATATATATATATATATTATTATATATATATATATATTATATATATATATATATATATATTATTATTATATATATATATATATATATAACTTTTGGTTACTTTCAATATTAATATTTCTCTCCCAAAATAGGCAGTGTCCAAAATTATACAGAGGTAACTGATATTCAAATCTATCTTAAAATAAAGAATTTTTGAAGTAGATAATGTCCTGATCCCCTTTACCTATGTGGAGAGTGATGTACTGAAGAATCATTCATCAGACTTCACTCCATCAATACCACTTACATGTTCAAAAATACTTCCACTATTTTAATTGCTTCTATGGCACTGTCCTTAAAATTGACCGTGTAAGGGCTACTTACAAGTTTTTTGATAAGTAATTGCATGGTCTGATTAATTGCTACAAAGTATACAATATATTATAAGCTTAATTTAACTTACTACTAAAACTTTAAAACAATTTTTACATAAATTTGCTGTATTTAACAATTAACTTTCAGGAAGAAGAATGGAGAAATACACTTGACCCGAAATACTCTCATCTCTCTGAGGAATTACATGTTGAGATTTCTGCTCTTGCACCTCCCGCAGAATCTCATGCCAGAATTGCCTTCGCTCTTGCTGAGCTTAGGAAGTACTTGGTGCCTGACAGCAATGATGAAATTCGTTTAGAACAGCTGAGAGAAATTCAGTCAGACCCAGGACGCAGAGGTGCAGGTCGTGGCAGGGCTCCTCCACCTCCTCCCCCTCGTGGTGCTGGACGAGCAAGTATGGGATATTTATAAATTTTATATCTATGTCACCTGCTGTTCATAATAGATGATCATCTTTTGGCCTAGTCTAGTTACGTAGTTGTACGCTCATTTCCTCCCTTAATTTCTTGTATCTCCTGGTTTTATCTTTGGGAAATGTTAGCTTCCTCACTACCAAAGGTAGGGAAGCTTTGTATTTTGATCTACATCTGGGCTTATTCCTTAATTATGTATAATTTTTTTTTTCGTGTGTGCTAAAAAAATTAATTTCCTACTTTTATGTAATATTATATATATATATTTTTTTTATCTTATGAGATTTATAATTTTAGTAACTTTTTAATTTAATGTTCTATTCTTATGATACGTTGTGTTCAATTCTTATAATAAAAATGAATAAAAAAAATTGCATGAAAGAAGAAAAGGCAGGTTCCAACGATATCTTTAAAAGCGATTTTACAGTAGTCAAATTTTTATGATAAAATTTTCCAAATTTGGTGATAAAATTAATCAAGTGTTAACTACTGATTAGTGAATCTGCTCCTATATGCTCCGAAACGTTTTTGTAATTACTGAAGATTACAAATTATAAACATGATTTTCAGGATTATTGTGTTTAATCTATATTTAGCTTTGCTAATCATGTGTGTTTTAGATGAGAAGTTTTCCCAAGTAATTTTGTAATATAACATCACCAAACAGCTATACATTAGGCTTTTATTTTTAAAATTACTAAGCTAAAGGTATATGCTTTCTTAATTAATGTATTTTCTTTAATATTAATTATTATGCTTTACCTTTGAATAATAAAAAAACTAAAATCATCTTTTTTTTGCCATATTATACCAGTGTTTTAATGTCCAGTACTAATAGTCCTTGGTACCAGACCTCTTTTTATCAAATTATTAACGTCTACCCGAAACTTCTTAAATAGCTTTATCTCATCATAACCTACAAATATTTTATTTGCAAAAATTCTGAGAATAAGGACGTTCTCGCGATTGTCTATTTAATTAGGTACTAAAAACTTATATATTATATGCAATATATTGTTATTGTTACTATATTATTTATTCAATATTTTCTTATTTATTTTTCCTTTTTTAAAGCTACTGGATTGGCTCCACCACCACCAAGGCCTGCCCCAAGCAAAGCTAAAGTTCTGTCCATCTTAGACCGGGCTAGACAAGCCATGGAAGAACCTGCCTATCCAGACTACGAAGAAGCTGGCCCATATGGATATGATCCCCCTCCACCAGCTGGGTATGTCTGATATTTTCATTATTAATTTTGTTTCGATTATTTTTTATTCTTTATAGCTTGATTTTAAGTAGAGTCTTTATTTGAAAAAATAGTTAATCAAAGTTGTTATTAAATTCTAAGTGAAGCCATATTACTTTCATAATCTCGTTCTAATCCTTTGTATTTCCATTACATGATTACTTTCTTATTTTCTTGTATTGTCTGATTTCAAAGAGAGATTTTAAAATTGGATGGGTTTAGTTGAATTTCTATACGTTCTTTTTCCCATAAATATTTTTATAATCAAGATAAATATATTTTTTTTCTTTGTAGTTATGCAGGTGACTATGAAGGCGGTGCTGAATACTATGACACACCAGCATATTCAGGTATTAATTACATGTAATTAATATTTTTGAAGTGATGTATTTTAATTTCCTTCTATTATTGGGATTTTGAAATTAAAAAGTTAATACACAATATTCACCCTTTATTGAACCTTTTCAATTAAACTCCTATTATGAAGTACATTTTAACTTATATAAAGTACTATTTATAAATTTTTTGTAAGTTATATATTTTTAGTCTAAATTCATTGATCTAGTTAGTTTGTTATTGATCCCTTTAAAATGAGTCCATTTGCTTAAAAAAAAATGTGTTTTGGTGAGGTGGGAGAATAAATATATCATTCATTGTCATTTCTTCTCACAAAATACCTTTTGATGTTAGCTGCTGGAGCTGGGCGCTGGAAGGGCTACAAGTCTGCTGTGGTAGGTCGTGGATATGGAGCGGGAGCTGCACGCCCTGTGCCATATTCACGCCCTGTTCCCAAGTAAAGTGGCTGGTAAGTTAGCTTTTAGCTATTAGATCTGCTTATTATTATATAGTGTAATCTGTCTTAGCTTTTACTAGGCAGAGATTGCTGTAGTTATGCCTGCAGTTTTATTTTATTTGTTTTTAATCATTGGTTGTTTTATTAAGCAGTACATCATACAATCTTGGATTAAACGAATAGTTAATAAAATAACTTGTGAGAAGGTTGGCTCAGGTCAAATAATCAAATGATTAATTTTGAAAACAGGTTCTATCAGCATTATTTCTTGATCTGTTTGTAAGCTTTTTGCCTCTGTTCTCTTGGTGTCTCTGTGTTCACAGCATTTAAATTTATTTATATATCTGTTAATCAAGTATCTGCTTAGTAGATTGTCTCTTATGATAAATTTGGTCCTTACCTACTTCACATTATTTAAATTTGGTCCTTACCTACTTCACATTATTGTAGCCTATTATACTGGCCCTATCTAATTTAAAGTATTTTATTTTATTTATGATATTGGTTAAGATTTTTTAATTTATTCAACCTTTTCTTTATGTGTGATATGAATGTTAATCAGTTGGGCGTCTTAACAATTACTAATTGCTCATAATCAGCTTGTAATGTTTTTTTGTATGTATTAATTCAAAAAGAGTAATTAATTTTGTTGGCAATCTCTGTCTAGAAATAGGCACATGTTTTTATGTATATGAATGTATATACAATTTTTTTTGAGCTTAACATGTACTGCTGGAAATGCATGAATCGGTTACTAAGTTACCTTATTCCATTTTAGTGTTAAATATCAAAAATCAAAAAAATATAAAAACAAATAATAATATCTTTTAATTTTTAATAAAAAGGAAAAAACTGATTTTTTAAACAATAATAATTTTTTTAGTACTCTATGTTTGTATTTATTTTGTGTTCCAATAATTGATTAATTAAAAACAATTGTTTACATTTGAACCATAAAATTAAGTTTGTTTTTTTTTATTTGCCAATTATGGCATTAAAAGAAATTGACCCATAAATCTATAACAATTATTGGTGCACTCAATAAATGTTTTATGACAATATTTAATTTTAAACACTTAAATAAAACCATTGATGTGCGTAATAACATAATCTCAAGTCAATGATTTGATTCTAGTTTTATCTGTTTGTTCTTAGTAGTTGGTTCCATTGGTGAAATTTTTAAGACAATTATCCCTAATCTAATAAAGATTTTAAGAACTTTAAATTTGTATTTTAATAATGTTAAGCGGTTACATTAAACAATAGATTACAATCTAGCTTCTCCATGACAAGTTTTATATGAATTTCTTTAATGATTCTATTCACCGTTTGTTATTTATTTTTATATTTTGTAGAGAATAGGTAATAACCTAAGCTAATTTTAAATTTTTGTCACCTCTTACTTTTTCTTCTTTCTAAAAATATTTAATTTGGTATGTTGTATGGTAACATATTCTAAAAATATGTTTCCTTTTGTTGATATTTATAACCTTTAATTTCTTGTGATATCTATCAAACAAATAAAAACTGTAATGTCCTATTATTAATTAAGTTGTTATATTTTAATTGACTTTAGGACTCTTGTAAATTGTTTTTAAACCAAATTGTTGTCATTTCAGCAGCTTTTTTGTAAATAAATAAATATTGTAACTTATTAAAATAGAATAACAGTTACAAGTCAAAAATGCTAATCGTAATTGACAAGTAAGTGTTGGTTGCTTTAGAACCATTTGATTTTTGCAGAGCTCTCATTATTTTTCACCAATGGTGCCACTGCTTATATTTTCCCTATAAAAATGTCTGCAGAAATATTAATCAAATGATAAAAAATTAATCAAAATAAAAAAAAAATCTGCAGGTACTCTAACAGAAAATTTTCTTATTTAAATCTATGTTTCTTCATGTTGATTTAAGAGGTTGTTGTTGGGAGTATTCACATTTTCTCAAAACCCTCTTGAGTTTAGTCATAAATGTTAAACCGTAGAATAAAATTATTAATTTAATTCTAAATAAATTGTGTTTATTTCCTTCAACTACCTCAAATTTAAACATCAAAGTTGATCGTACAATTCAAATCAGTCATTTACTAAAATATTTTGATAAACTAATTACAATCTTTCAAAAAAATTAATTAAAAATAGTAAACAAATGTTTTTTTCTTTTCTGTTCTGTTTTTTAGGATATGAAGAGGTGCTGACTTTTAAATTTAAACTAAACTAATTTTATAAAATACAAAAACCATTTAAAAAATGAAAATCAATTGGAATGCATAACAAATTCCATTTTTATATAAGGAATAATAAAATAGATTAGAAGGTTTAGATTTTGTGTATTTGATTCAATTGCTCCACATGTTTTATGACCATTGACTTTTTATCAATCTAGGTGTTTTTATCATTTATAATTGTTTACTGTATCTTATTTTTTTCTTTAATTATTTATGAAATCATAAATAAAATATTGTGATTATGAATTAAATAAATGGTTTGTTTTTATTATTTTTTAAAATTTTGTTTCGCATATAATTTATAAAATTCTTAATATCATTAAATAATGAGATGGTAGAGTAATTGTTTTTAATTTATAATTAGTAACATAAGGCTTTTTACATAAAGTATTTATTGTATTGAGTAATATTTAATGTTAGCTTTTAACATAAAGAATAATAATTACTGTATTCGTTGAGTAAATAACATTGTGTTTACATTTTCGATATGTAGTTCAAAAAGAATCATTCGATTTTTTTTTTCTCTTAATAGCATATAATAGTGATTAAAAATTTAGTATGTAGGTTTATGATTAAACAGTATTGAGTAATACAGGACCAAATTGAATGAATCCATATTAATAAATAAAGATTAACAGGCCAAAAATAAAAAAAATTGTTTGATTTAATTCCAGTGTTAAATATGAATTCTTTATGCATCAAGTTTGAAAATATTTTCAGGACTGTTTAATTTCTAAAGAAAATTAACTTTGTTTAATTACATAAATTAAATATGTTTGTATTGATAGATAATTAAAACTATAAATCTTCAAGAAGATATTTTAAAATACATTACTCCTTTTCATTTTTGGTTGCATTTCCTCTCTAATTCATTCTGATTAATGTTAAACCAGTTAAAAGACCTAAATGTTATGGGACAATTTAAAATAACTTGGCATTGAAGCTCTATGAAATGCAGTGGAAATAATGGATGGATGAACCCAATGTCTTCAAGATATAACATGTTTGTTTACAAATAATTGCAGATGATAATGGATCAGGAGATATGAATTAATATGAAATACAGACATTTTATTAATATTAAAAATCCTGTTTAATAGTTAAAAACTTAAACTTAATACTTCATATTACCTGTTAATGATTCTGTAAACTTCATTAATTTTTTTTTAAATACCTCATGAGTTACAGTTTCTTGTTAATTCCTCAATTTTTTTAACCTGTGGGTTGTTTAAACGCTAATCCTACCTTGGTTATTTCCAATTTTATCTTTCCTGCTCTGCTGTGACCAATTTATCTCTTTAAAATTGGTATCTATTATTTTTAAAGTAAAGTTATAATAAAAAAAATAAAAGTTATTTTCTTAATTATTACATATGAACTCATGCTAAGTAATTTTTTTAAAAATATAATCTTCCCAATAGCTCATTCTTTATAATTTAATTGACAAAATTTAGATCTTTTTAATTTATTCTTTTTTTTTTTCAAGTACATTTAAATAGAAGTATATTTCAAATGAATCGTTTTTTTTAAAATGGCATCTGTTCTGATTTGTTTAAAGTTCCTTTTTTTTTCATTCTGGAAAATAAAGAGTCATTAATTATGAGGTAATGTAGTTTGTTGCTTACATTGTTCTGTTATCTAGTTCTATTTTGGTAAAAATTAGTATGATGAAATTAACAAAAATGAATGAAATTCTAATTAAATTATCCCCAAAACACAACACTACATGAGTTCAAGAAGCTAGCATGGAAAAAATAAAATGTGTATCAAAAAAATAATTATGGGAATAATTCAGTAAAAAAAAAGGTAAAAACAATATTTTTATTATTTAATAAAACATTTATTAAAATTAATTTCAATGTTATATTTAAACTAATATTACTTACATTTTGGTCTTAAATTAATTTAATGTATTTATATATAATAATAATTTTATTTAAATCTTTTTCTGACTACAAATTGTTTATTATTTATTTTTTCTTTTTTTCAGTTGAAAGTAATAACACGAGGTGGCAAACATTCCTTTAAATCTATATTAACAACAAATGATACGTTAAAAATTGTTTTGTTTTAGCATGGTTACTTTTCGATAATTAAAAAAAATATTTATCAGTGTACTCATAAAATTAAAGCGAGTTTTAACAGGTATGGGAAACAGCTTCATTTGGAAAATCTGTGGCTCATTTTGTAAGGATAACATACAAAATAAACCGATATCACACATCTTAAAAGTCATTGAAGTCATGTTTTCAAATTTGAACAGAAATAAATCATCCCAACCAAAAAATAAGAATTACTTTGAACTTTTTAATTGTGTTTAATAGAGGTAACCAAATTTTAAAAGAAAATATTTGTTTGGTGATTATTTTTATTCTATCAAATTATTTTTATTTTCGTTTTCCTTTTCAATTTTAAATGTTAAATGATTTTTTCTAAGAGTTGCATTGTCATATTTTAAAATTAGTTTTTATTTCATGGCATCCTAAACTGAGAACTAATAGTATTTTAAGGCTTTTTGCACTGTTTTGCTGATACTCATTTGTATTTTATTGCTTTAGCTTTCTACCATCATTAATTTTTTTTCTTCATCGAGATAAAATTAATATAATTCAATTTTATTGTTTGGTTATATAAGCTATAACTTTCAGGGATAAACTTCGTTCTATTTGCAGTTATTTTCTAATTTAATTTTTTTTTTTTTTTTGCTGTTATAATATATAAAAAATAACGATTTGAATGATACAGTTTGCTTTATTAGTTATGATATGGTGGAAAAACATACCACCAGTCATTTGGGTGTTACTGAAAATTTAATTATCTTTCAGACTGGATAATAAATCTTTCCCTTGTAGAAATTGTATAAGCGATTGATTATTTTCTTGTTTGTCAATTGATTATAGTATACAAAAAATGTTTTTGAAGGAATATATCATAAAAATAATAGAAGCTAAACATTATTATACTATAATTAATTTCAGTGGGAATGAAAATTTATGAATTATTGGCTCCTTAGAATTATAAACCACCCATGTTTTTCACCCAGTGTTCCATTAGTCCCCAATATTATATTTATATTAAAAAATTCATAACTATAAAAGTGGGGTATCATGTATATATTATATTGGGTTTTAGAGTCATCTAGTAACAATACATTAGAACAGTTAAAAATACATAGAAAATTAAAAATAATAAGTAATTTCGTCCTCAAAAGAAAAAAAAAATCTTATTTGCTAACTAAATCAATAGTGGAGATATTCAGGAAACAGAGAGGTGGGTGGATACTTATCTGAAGTAAACATTTCTAATGCTGTGATCGCAGTCTATTGGTTCTATAAGTGTTCCCAGACTATTGGGAGTTATTAAGAGGAAACATCTTGTTTGGGTATTAGTTCTCAGTTTAGTTTAAAATTTAAACTTGTAAATGTGACCATTAAATATCTCTTTTGTTTTTACTTGTTTCTGTAATCAATTTTTTCATATGGCAGTGACTCAGTTAACATCTAAAAAAACTATAATTATCTGCATGTCATTCTTTAAGTGAAATTCTACTATCTTTCTGCTTAGTTCATAAGTTGTTTGTTTTTTACGTTTTCTCATTATAACATGCATTAAATGGAGAAATGCAAAATATTGGAATTTTTTTCCTATTTTATATTTTTCGTTAATTGCGTGTTATTTTGTGCCCTTTATTTTTTTGTTGTGTAGGATTTCTATGTTATGCAGTGGTGATGATTTTAGTCTATTAACTGTTAACAAATTTCTTTTCTTACATACCTTTATATGTAATACTCATTAATTGTAGAATAATAAAGTATTTGTTCGAAATTGGTAAAGGCTGTACATTTTATAGAGGTGAGAGTTGGGCATGGAACTGTGTTGATTAATTATTACTGTTTCTGTTAGAGGTTTAAACATATGAATGTGCATAGGTGTCATGTCTGATTTGTCACAAAGTACGTCAGTTCGATTTGTTTTTTTAACTTCTATTGGTGATCTGATTTGATAAGGTTAATAAGTATGACTGATAAAACTAAATGGTAGAAAATCAGACCAACAAATTATTATTTTACCAACAAATGAAAATTGCTCTGGAATTTATTAAGTCTAATATGTTATGTTATATAGTCTAAACAAAATTTTAAGAGTCCCCGAAACCAACTATCAAAGCACAGAAATATAAATAAAGAATATAGAGGCTCATTATATTTAAGCTTTTAAGTTTCTGTTTATGTATTATTATGATAAACCAAGTTTTATATTATTTCATTGAAAATTTTTGCTTATATATTGTGCATTCTCTTTAGGTCCAACCATGTCAGTATTCCTTTTTTTAAAGGAGTTAGTGAAAATCTTAAGAGAAATACTTAAATTTTTTCTTTATTTTTCTTAACTTAAAAATACTTTCAGTAACTACTTATGCTCGCTTTCATTTTTATATCTAAAATGCTAAAATATGAAAAAAAATCTCAGTAAAATTTATAACTTTCATGATCAGTCTGGTAAGAGGAAGTGACCCATTTGAAATAAAAGAGCTCTCATGAAAACTTGAACAAGCCGGCTAAGGCCAATTTAACACACCTGTTCCTGTTACCTGTCGACTGTCTTTAGCAAGGGGAGAGGGGTGAAACCCCATAGTTTGTAACTGATTCCAACCTCTTTCCATTTAAGGGCTAAAGCGACTTTCTTGCTGTGATCCTAAATGCTGTTTGCTCACAAGGTAGTATGGATTAGGTAGTTAAAAAATAAACTCTGAATATTCTAACTGTAGAGGACTGTATTATACCAATTTTATTTGCAAATCAGTTATAAACTATTAAATAAAGTGTTTTTTTTTTTTTTATATGCACGGCTTTAGCTAAACGCTATTAGTCAAATGAAGTGGATTTAAGCATGGTTTTTCAACATAGGATGTTCTCAGAATCCTCCTTTGCACTACATTTTTTTAAAAAGATTTTAATCTGACCTTATTTTGTTATTTGAAAAAAAAAAAAATAGTTCATAAAAAATCTTTTGTGGGCCTCCATTGATGGCTGCTTAAATTAAAGTTCAACCTTTTATAACATAAAAGATGCTCTAAAACTAAAAAATATAGAAGTTATTTCAATGGTTTCAGCGACACTTATATTGAGTAAGTAAGTAAAACATCATTATTAGCTTCTGATAATTCATAAAATTTATATTAACAGATGGGATCTATCACCCCATTATATGCTCAGTGGCAAAAGTTTACTCTTTCTTTAAACATGATTGTCTTAATGACAAGATATTTATTAAAAAATTCACAAAAGAAAAATTATTCAGATATTGTAGTCAGTCTTAATTGGAGCAGGCTTGTTAAGTCGGCAAAAGATCTGAATGG